CACATCAGCTGTTCGGAAATGGGCGGGCAGTGGCTCGCTGCTCGGCGAATGCCGAATATGTGGAGCCGCCTTTAGGACACATTAAAGGGAGCGAACATTCGGCGAACACGTCAGCTGATCGGGATTGTACGAGCAGTAGTTCGCCGCTCGGCGAATGGCGAATGTGTGGAGCCGCCTTTAGGACACATCAAAGGGAGCGAACATTCGACAAACACGTCAGCTGTTCGGAATTGGGCGAGCCGGGCAGTAGCTCGCTGCTCGGCGAATGCCGAATGTGCGGACCGCTTGCCGCCTTCCGCCGGAATTAGAGCGCCTGGCTGCGGCTGGCTGGGCGCTCGCGGGCGCGGTCTCGCACGAACGAGCGCGTGAGTGCCTCCACTTCGCCCCGGAAAACACCCCGCAGCTGGAAGCGGGCGCCCGCGGAACGTCCATGAAGAAGAGACGCCAACGGCTGCCGTCGGCCGGGGCGCGGGCCACGAATCCTCCGCCGCCATGGCGCATGCGCAGACTGCAACGACACCGCATGAGCGCGGCGTGGGCGGGAGAGTCAGCCGAGCGCACGCCCAACACGCCGCGCAACCGCCGGCGCTGCGGCCACGGCGTTGCAGCGCACCACTGGCGCCGCCGGCACGGCCCGCGCGTCAGCGGCGCGTAGCAGCTGCCGTTCGGGTGCACCAGCTCGCCCTCCGCCCAGCAGCGGGCGGCGGCGGCGCTACACCGCACCTGCGGCGCGCCCGCTGCCTCTAGCGCTGCGAACAGGCACATGGCGCGGTCCGGCACGTTCACTTGATTGATTGATTGATTGATTGTTAGTGATCCCGAACTGCTAAGGTCATTAGTCCCGAAAGTGTAGTGCATGCTCTTCTTCGTCTGAAGGTGATTATTCCCCTCTCGATGGCGAAATTGCGGCTGTAACGGTTAGTGTACCGGACTGTTGTACCCAAGTTCAAACCCGATCGAAACCGTGGATTTTTAAGGGCGAAAAAATCCTTCCTTCGGAGGGGAAGTATAGCCGGCTGTCCCATGTTAGTCGATTTACTTGCATGTAAAAGATCCTCAAGCCTAAATGACGCCTCTGAGCTAAATTGAAATCGCCTGTTTATCGCCCAAGAAATACATCCTTTCTCTGCTAGTTGATGAAAGGAGCGTAGCGAAATTTGCGTGGTCAGACGGAAGAGCGGGCCTGATGGCCCGAGTCTCACCGCGTAAAATAAGGCAAATTCAATTCAATTCAAAAATCCGACAGCGACCTACCGTCAGCTAGCGAGGTTTTCCCTCAACAAGGTATCTCTCTCCGCCCCAGTCGGGACAAGCGGGAAAACTCCCGACCGATCTCCTGCCATGAGAGGTTGTGTTGGGCATGTTTGTGTAAGTAAGGGGTGATGATAGCTCAAGGAAGAGGAAGGAAACATTGCGTGCGGTCCCGGGCCCGTTTGTTAAGGTACTGCTCCGGCATTTGCCCTGTGTTGATTGGAGACTGGTTAGTAAACTGTGTCTGATGTTGATCAACGTTTCAGTGTCCAAGCGTTAAAAACAAATAAGAATTATGTTTTGATTAATATTTTGATTTTATGATTTTAGAATTCATGGTATATAATGTCACTTGTATCTGCAAACTAATTGTGTTTTAATATTTCATACTAGACTTCTGTTACTCCTCGAAAACGTTTAATATCATTCATCCAGAAACCCAGTTTTAATTCCACAATTCACAGTTTTGTAGAACATTGAGTTACACTTTTATCTATAAATATTCTTGGTAACGAGCCTGAAAATAAAACTTACAGAATGTTACCTAGTTTTGATTACGTTATTACTTATTAACATATCCTCTGTTTTCTTTCTTCTGACAATCACAACTGCTCTCGTTTGTATCATATATGTTTGATATGCGCATCAGTTAAATTTATAGAATTTTTTCAAAGTAAAGATGGCATTCATTAATATAAATGTCAAGATTCACTGTCGATATTAGTGTAAATTATTTATATAAGGCTATTATTTTGATGAATTTAAAAATGTTTCACATTATTTTACATACAAGAACCCTATAAAGGTGCAGATGAAAATGTTATGAATATCGACTAGATATTTAATATTGAGCAATATAAATATTCCTTGAAAAACATAAAAGAGAATGTAATAATAAACTTTTTGTAAACTTTTACAAAATACGCAATAACTAAAAATATTAGTACGTATTTTTAATATATATTACCTGACAAAATTACGTTTCTATTATCTCATATTGAAACCTCTGATTTTATCACGTTATCTTTGTCTCGTAGAAGAATTCTCTTCTCATAAAATGGCAATGAGAAAATGGCGATAACCATAAGAATTCTTATTTATTGAATTTGAACATTTTAATGTTTACCTTCATCTTGATGACCGCCACAGGGTACGGCTGAAGTTTTACCAGCTGTCAGTAAGACCAACACAAAAACCAGCAATAATGCGCATATGCGGACCGACATCTTGAGAGCTTCCGAAGCCACCAATTGCTCCAGAGCTATTCACGATATTGACTGAAGAGAACGTTTCCTCGAACGGTCGGGGGGCAAGTCAGATGATGTTCTTAATATGATAATGAGTTCATATGCATAACCTTATGATGTCATTTGTAGTTGTGCCGTTGATAACGCTAGATAGGAAGACTGCAGTCTGCAGCCTAGAAACTCATGTTTTTATTATAATCTCGTTGAGAGGAAACACACATCACAATAACACTATCAATGGTTTAATAAAGTATCTAAGTACACATTTTATTGTATACAGTGTATTGTTAATAATTTTAAATGCTACTGCATTCTGTTATTTTTACACAAAAACATTACCCACCACTCATTTACTTTCAGAGTTTAAGCTCTCACTAGAACGAAACTATCAAAGAATGTAATTATCTAATTCATTAATTTCAGTAACTATTTCATAGGTCATTGAATTGGTAAGTAAATCGGTCAAATGTAATTATATACATAAACCAAAAAACTTTTTATGCGAGATTGTTTTTATCATGTCACATAGACCACCCTGATTAAAAACGAAATTTAAATATGAACGAAAAATCGACTGGTAGTATTGAAAAGTGGCTTGAAATAGTCTTTTGGAGCAATTTAATTTTTTAACTTTTCAGATTTCACAAAAAAGTACTCGTCTATTTTTCATTAATATAGACTGACATAATAAATTGATGACCTCACGTAATACATTTCTTTTCCAAAATCACATCTGCAAGGAAGAAAGAATACAAACTATAAAGGAAAAAGTTGAAGAGAGAGAATGGGTAAATATAGATGGAAAATATAAGAAAGGTTCTTAAATAGTTTTAAAAACTACTGGTTTATTTGTAAGTTGAAAACATGGGTACAATAACATTTTTTTTGTACATAAGAACCTGGAATAAAGGTATCTTTTCCATTATAAAATAAGAACTTTTTCTTAAAAATGGATGATCTTGAAGTTTATTTGCATAGTTGTATATTCGGGTAGTTAATGTTCGGTAGTTGCACTTCACAGAATACTTTGTTTACTAAACGTCACAATACTCAATATTTGGTGCCATCACATCATTTAATATAATACAACTATTTTACTCATTTGTGTCTTCTACTTAAGAATTCATATGTAATCTACATAACTTCAAAACATGATATTCACTATTATCACGAGAGTATTATTTTCATTAAATAAAATCCAATGATAATTATCCTATAATGGAAATTACTGATCAGTAGAAACTGAAATATATTTTAACCTGTAGTAAATGACAGTACCCACATAGTATAGACGTACAACATTTAACAACACACAACTTCTCTGACACTTCATAGGGAGTCCATCAGATTGTGAACAGAGAGCTAGAAGTCTCTGAGTCTTATTCGACATGAATCTCAGTCGTCCAAAACAGTAGGTGGGATTCTATCTATCAAGCAGCCACCATTTGTTCTAAATTAAAACTTTTTTTTGTTCTTTCTAATCTAGTTTTCTTTCCCTTGAACCCAAGGAATCGCAAAACTAACTTAGTTCTTTTTAAATTTCTTTTCAAATTTATTTAACTGCAATGGGATAAAAGCCAGTCGCAATTTCTACACTAGAACTAAAGTAATAACTTCAACTAACAAATATAATCGACTACAATCTTAACTAAAAAGTAAGGTTATAATTTATATATAATAATTGTGATAACTTAATAGAAGTATCCTAAACAACTTTGATAAATATCAAGTAAATTTAATAGACCATCTCGGAAGGTTGCACGAGAGTCACATTTCAAAATAACTTCGGAATTACAAATTTCGTAGAAATGAGAGATGTCCCAAGAAACGATGGAGTGATCATTTCTAAATGCACTGAGATCAATAGTCAAACGTTCTTAACTCTCTACAGAGGCGTTTGCTTGAACCCGTTCACCAACCGCGTTCACCCCGTCGCTTCTATAAAACATTTAAACTAAATGGTAAACCAGTGTTGCGAGTTTTAATATAAATGGTTATTTATAGCCATTCCTTAACTGAAACATTTCAATGCCCTCCGAGCATTTCTTATCGGATTCACTGTTATTGCAGCGATACACATAAAGGTTGTATGGTGTAAGAATTTCTTACACCAGAGGGTTTTGACTTCGGCAACGTATCAACTCGTTCTTCTAATTCGTTCACTGAATATAAAACTATAAAGAACATGTAATAGTAATCTTGAGTAACAATAATAGTAATAGTCAATAATAATAATAATAATAATAATAATAATAATAATAATAATAATAATAATAATATCTACAATGGTTTTAATTTTAAACGTATATTCGTTCCTTAAAAAGCAGATCCTTTCCAGTGCACCTTAGTGTCAAAAAAGTTCTCAGCTGTGCACCGGCGTTTCTTGGACCCGTTCTTCAAACCCGTTCAGCGAGTCGATTCGCGAGGTTTCGGACGCGCGGCAGTCTGTGTCGTGCGGCCGGCTTGGCGTGTTG